CAACAATTTTGATTGGGTGAGAAAGCCACTCTGAGATGGCAATTGAGGAGGACTCCCTGTTTATCCAAACCAGTTTGGGCCGGACAGGGAAGTTTGCACATTAGTCCTAACTTTGCCTGAAATTATATCCTCTCTGACTACACAAGGCCAACGCCTGCATCTTAATACTTAAATCTCCACTGCCAAGCGAACGTAAGACATGTGACATACATGACTGCACACTGCACATGTGCACTTATCCCCACTTGAATATGCATAGAAATACCCTAGCCCTTGTAAAATATGTACATTCCCGTAGCTAGATCCTTAAAAGCTATAATCCCCGCCGTCTCAGGGAGCTTGGTTTAGGTGCTGAGACTGGCCTGGCTCCTGGCTTGCATAACTCGAATAGACTCCTTTCTGTGAGATGCTCAAATCGTTGTCTTTGTGTTTCAATCTGCATTCACAATAGACATGGACCCTGCGGGTGTTTACCCATGAGAACAAGAAGATGCCATCAGTGTGAAGGAAAGCTATTGTCTTATTCATTCTAATTACATCTCAGTTTAATATCCTGGTCCTCCTAAGTAGATAATTATACTATTTGAAAATAAAAATGACTTTTTCCCCTCTTCTTTATCAATAGTTAAATCTCTTGTTTCTACCTCATGTATACTGTAGTGGTGAAGACTCCCAAAACAAGGCTAATCAGAAGCAGCCTTGTTATGTTTCTGTTGCATCATTTTCAAAGCACAAATATATTCAAGTTATAAAGTGGACTTTTCTTATTAACATACACATTTCCAAGACCTAAATTAAGCGTCTTACTTTTATGTGTCGATGCAATACAAATGAATAGAAAGATAGGTTCTTATTCTAGACAAATTGAATTCAGGGAGAAGGCAATAAAACAAGAAGAGGAAGAAAGTGACTAATATATTTTGGACACAGCTATATTTTCTCCCTGAAATCTATAAACTTCCAAAAATAAATCATAGCCATAAAACATTCTATTAACTCCCATAAACAGTTAATATCTCTAAATAACTGTAACACATCATAAATCTCAGCAATTTCTCCTTTCATCCCAAGTTCAACTATTTATACTAGGTGTAAAGAATCACTTTAAGTACATAAACATTAGAATATGGCTCTTGTACTCACACGTGGCTGATAATCATATGCTGGAACATAGTCTTCAGAGTATGTTGTCAATGCGCACCTAAGAGGGATAAGTTAGTGTTTGAGAAAAGAACGACTCCAGAAAGAAAGATGTTTTATATGTTTGGCATATGCTTTACATGAAATTAGAAAACATTTCAGGAAGGACTAGTCCTAAAAAAGTCAATGCGCACCTAAGAGGGATAAGTTAGTGTTTGAGAAAAGAACGACTCCAGAAAGAAAGACGTTTTATATGTTTGGCATATGCTTTACATGAAATTAGAAAACATTTCAGGAAGGACTAGTCCTAAAAAAGATATTTAAATCCCACAACAGTTCCAGGCCCTATATGTACTAGGGTACTTCAAAAAGTTCGTGGAAAAATAGAACTAAAAGATAATACAAATCTTTCCATAAACTTTTTGAAGACCCCTCGTAGTATTACCCACCACCACCAGCAGAGCACCCCCCCTTCAATAACTTAAAATTTAGCGGCACCTAGTACTGAGCTCAGGTGCTCTGCATTCTCTACTACACACTTCCTGCCTCTGAAGGCTTTTGACCCTGTGTCCCACGTTCTCTGCTTGATGATAGCTGAAGAGATAATAGAAGACAACCAGGTGGACTGAGATTACCTAGTGTCCCCAACCCATGCCCTATTAAATACAAAGAAATGCTGGATGAAATACACTACCACCCTTCCAAAGTCTACAAGCATAGTCAAGCTCAAAAGGGAAACCCTGAGGTGCAAGAAAATAAGAGGATATACATTACAATAGGAACCTATAAACTCATGCCACAAGGCTAGAGGGTAGAGTCTGAACCACATTATAGACGTGGCCTTAAATTTACTTGAGGCAAAAAGCTAAACTCCTATTTATAGTGAAGAACCTGTAAAGGCTGTGTCTTCATATAAAAGAGACCACAGAATGGGCCAGTCCCATGGCTCACTCGGGAGAGTGCGGCGCTGGTAGCACCGAGGCCGCAGGTTCGGATCCTATATGGGGATGGCTGGGCGCTCACTGGCTGAGCGTGGTGCAGACGACACTAAGCCAAGGGTTACGATCCCTTTACTGGTTTAAAAAAAAATAAAAAATAAAAGAGACCAGGGAGGGCCAGCCCGGTGGCGCACTTGGTAGAGTGCGGCGCTTGGGAGCAACGAGGGTTCAGATCCCATATAGAGACCAGTCCGCTCACTGGTTGAGCGCAGTGCAGGCACGACACCAAGGGTTGCGATCCCGTTGCTGGTCGCGGTACAGGCGCGACACCGAGGGTTGAGATCCCATTACCAGTCACGAAAAAAGACAAAAAGAAAAAAAAAAAGAGACCAGGGAAACCCCAGTTACCAGTCCAGAGAAACTCACAAGAAAGTTTCTCTCTATTTGGAGCTTAGGGTGGGGGAAAAATTATTCTCCTATGAAAAATTAAAAGCCCACTTCTATTGCGGGCAATATTATGGGGCTAGATGGTCAAAGAAACACTTCTGAGTAGGGTACACCAAAACATGCTGGATAAAAGGACATTTTAGAAAGTTTTAATGCATGACCAGGATGGTGGGAAGGTAAGAGAATTCAACAAGTATGCCAAAATTAGAAGAAAGTCCAACTGAGACCAGCTATTGGGGAAAGGTGCTACTATTTACACTGGTGGTAACCACCAATTCCTGCAGGGCTCTCAGGTGTGATTTCCAGAGTAGCAGCAGTAGCAGCATCTGGAAACTCAATAGGAATACAAAAATTTGGCTCCCACCCCAAACTGACTGAATTAGAAACTCTGGTGTGGGGTGCAGCAATCTGTATCTTAACAAGCCCTCCAGGCATTCTGATGCACACTAAAGTTTGAGTACTGATGATTAAAAGAACAAAAATTGGAAGTGTAACTTTCAAACCAGCAAATGGGATTTTTAAAAAACCAATCTAATAGAAAGCAGGAAAGGAGAATAAAAGGAATAGGGGGAAATTATTTCTGCTCACAAGACAAATTAAAACCATAAAAATAAAATTAAATATTTTAGCAATCACAATGAAATAATAGTATATAAAGTATATAATTGTATATATCTATAGGGTATAAAGAAACTCTTTCATATATATTCAAGCAGATGTATATAAATGATGGATCTTGGACGTGACTAGCACCATTGTGCACACAATAAGCACAAAATAGCTGCCGGCCTTGTCTTCCACTCCAGCACCAAACCCCTCCCTGCTTCCCTTTAGGAGAAGGCTCCTAACTTCTGCAAAACAGAAACCCTTTTGCTTCCGCAAGGGCACAGTTCTCCACCCTGCTTGCATAGCTTCGGCGTTAGCATAATGCCCTTCCTTCATGGTATCAGCCAACCCTTGGCACCCTATATAAGCTCTTTCACCCCCACATCTGGGGCTGTGCTCCATTTTGAGGGCAGCCCCGGGCTGCCTGCCACTTTGAGCACACCCTGGCAGATTCTTTTCCTTTAATAAAGCTTAATCAGTACCCAACATTTTGGCTCACTTTCTTTCAATAAGGATATTCATTGTAGCCTTATTTGTAGTAATGAAAATTTGGAAGCTAATGTCTTTCAGTAGGGATGTACTGGATCTATATAAATCATTTTCTTCAGAAAATATGAAGCAAATACGGTAAAAATATTAACTGATGTTGTAACCAGGTAATGGGTAGATGGGTGTTTGAAGAGTATTTTATATAATGGAAATATTCCATAATCTTAAAATATGTTTAAGTGTTAATAGATGACAATGAACTTGTTTCCCTACCCTCTTCTTACCCAAAGTTATGACTCAATGATAGGATTATCAGGAACCCTAGTCAAACACTGGAGAGTTGCTTTGGGCAGGCCAAACTTGCAAGTCAACATTAAGTGTGTCTCTCTACTCACTTAAAGCAGGCAGAAACCTATTCCACCTATGTTTAGGCCCTTTTCCCCCCTCCCAGCACAGAGTCTAATAAAAGGTAGGCACTGAAAAACGCTTATTGAATAAATAAAGCAATAAAAGTAGATTTACTACATTGTGAATGCAAATAGAAGTGAAAGAAAATGATTTTGAAATTTTTATTTCTCATCATAAATTAATTAGTTAGAATTCTGGCTTTTCTTGTGAGTTTAATGAGCACAAGTCAAACTCCATGAGTCAATAAATCCCAAAGCACAGACAAAATGGTCATCCTGCAAATGTAAACCTGGAGACCAGATACTGCTAAAGTTTCCAGGATAATGCCACACTTTACAGTGGTTGGAGGTGAGAGAGCTGGCTTTGACCCCTCACAACTCACAATTTGCCTCGCATGCCCTGAAGACTTGTAGTCATAAGTCATAAGACACTTTGTAAGGTAGAGAACTACTAATTATGTTTTGTAGATGAACAAAAAAAGGAAGTCTGATATTGAAGTTATCATTAAAGCCATGATATTAGTTAAGGCGTCTATATCCGCACTAACATCAGTGGTAACGCGTGTGAATCGATGACAAGATGATGTGCCCAAACCCACAGAACCACAGTCTCTTACACTTGGAAGAAACTTATAAGTCAACTGTTTCTTTTCTGTTTTGTTTGGGGGTGGGGGCAGATATTTTCTCACCCAGCTTCCTAGCAGCCAGAACAAGGACATGGGATATATATATAT